GGTGTTTGGTTTATTGAGGTGTTTGGTTTATACAGGTGTTTGGTTTATGAAGGTGTTTGCTTTACAGTGTTGCTTAAAGGGTCTTTTGTTAATAGAAGTGTTTATGAAAGTGTATTGCTAAATCGAAGGGTTTACAGTTTACAGAGGTGTATGGTTTACAGAGGTCTTTGATTTACAGAGGTGTTTGATTTATAGAGGTCTTTGTTTTACAGAGATGTTGCTTACAGAGGTGTTTGGTTTATAGAGTTGTTTGGTTCATAGAGGTGTGTATTGCTTTATGGAGGGGTTCACAGTTTACAAAGGTGTTTGGTTGACAAAGGTGTATGGCTTCATAGAAATGTTCTGTTCACCGAGGTGTTACTTTACTTACATTAAAATTTTTCGTGAGTTTAATATGTCTTTCATACAAATCTGTGTCCTCGCCTCCCCATCCACGTATTGAGAGGTCGAAACCTCCTACAGCACGATAGTCCTGGTTATGTAAGCAAACCATTCCATAACCATAATGAATCCAAAATCCTGTAAAAATATAAATAATTAAAATAGGAAATAGCATTGAGATTATTTAAAATTAATTAGTAATATGATTTTTAAACAAAAAATCTATTGGCTAATGTGGCTGCTGCACAATGTAAAATAAATCTGATTCACAGAATAAAGTTAATACAAATAGATTAAAATTGTAAATCTGTGGTTTGTTTGTGGCGTGTAGTTTATTCCAGATTACTCCAGAACTTGAGTTACATATTACCATAATTTTTGGCTACACAGAGCCCAGTCAGACTGCAACATACCAGTACTGTGAACAGTAGCCAATCACAAACCCCCAAGCAAACGTGCACGTTGTAAACGACTGAATAAATTAGTTGAGCTTATTTGAAATATGGCAGGTTAAAGGTCAACATTGCTTTTTTCGTGCAGGATACGCATTCAAATATTTTATTATGCATAGATTTCAATGTTATGTCTATCAAATATCCCAGAGCACATAGGTAACAAGTTGCATTGAAATATGAGTGGTACTAAAATATCTGTGGAATCACAGTTTGAAATTTATGTAAATTAGGCAATTAACATGCACTGATTTTAACCTTACACCAATTTTCATTGAGATCTGTTAAATTAAAGGGGGTAGGCATTGCGCAGCATCCTGTTCGATATGGGACTCATAGTGACATACACAATGTGTGTAAAATACATTGTTTATTTACATGAAATTTGAACAAATGCTGCACGATGACCACCGCCCTGTAGTGTCTAGGCCGATCGACCTAATTACTGATTTTTTTTACACCCAGTGCAAAAATATATTTTTTGATAAAAGTGGCTAGAACTCAAAAATCACATGGTGTACCTACTCTATTATTTTATTGTATACAAATCTGATGAGTGGTTATTAATAATACATAATTTAAAAGTGAGTTGTGAGGGACAATTTGAAAAGGTTGTCAAGTGTTAGACAGGTTAATTTATAATTTTTTTTATTGTTATTTTTGATTATTTATTACTATTTAGAGGGTGAAAAACAAAATAATGGCTATTAAAACAAAAAAAATATGGAAAAAAATAACAAAAATAAAATTGGAGCCCAACATTCATCTTTCTAATTATAATAAAGGATGTGTTTGGCCAACTAATAAAAACTGTAATTTTTTTATTTTGCAGAGCAAAAATATTTAAAAAATCTGGGGTACTCAAATTTATTTCCATAGAAACAATGAATTTGTTATTTGCCTATAACATGTAGCCATACTCTGGTAGCCATTTTGAAATGAACATTGGTTAATTCAAATACCAGTTTGAGTACCTCACACCAATCTTTTCAGACCACTGCACCATTTTAAATTACTCTTACCATTATGTTTGTGAATATCCTTACTGGTTTCTTTTGGGATCTTAGCTGACCCTTGATAAACCAGCTCAGGATTGTACTGTGAAAATACTATGGGATAGTAAGCTTGCTCCCCGAGAACAGAATTGTGTCGACATCGATCCAAGAAGGCAGCATCAAAATCAACATCAACATCACAAAAAAATAACAAGGATTCTGCTGAGAACTGTTTTGCTCCAATATCAAGTCCTGCAGCACGAGAAAATTCACCTTGGGTCTCTATATAACTAATCACTGCCTCAGGATACTGTTTTTGGTATTTATAAAACAACCCTTTCACTTGTTCTACTTGGCGTCTGCCGTCATCGGTAGTGCCAGGAAAAAGTACAGCAAGGAGACTTGTGTACTCTTTTGTTTTTAAGCAGATTTTTTCGTAGTTGGCCATGAAATCTTTCAACCGATCAGTGACCTTTGAGAGTGGAATAATGAAATTTACATTCTGGTTGGTCTTCCCAAATTTTCTTGAAAGCAATTGTAAATTATGAAAGGGTCTCACAAGATATAATAACTTCCGATCAATAACGGTTGATATCTCATCCACTTTTTCAAGTTCTAAATCTAAGATATACTCGGCCCCTTTCGCCGGATCCACCCGTCTATATCCATTTAAAAGGTTAAACAATCTGTACTCTTCGTCACTATCCTTATTTACGAAATCTAGAGCTTGCTGTAAAACATCTTGCACGTCAAACTTAAAACTTCCTATCAAGCCGATTCGTGGATCATCATCTAAATTCTCGAACAGGTATTTCTCATTGAAGTACGCCCATCGAAGGACTTCATACATTGATTTTCGGCTGAAAGTCTTCTTTGATCGTCACAGCAGCTGGTTGGTTGTTCACAGGCAGGTGAGTCACATGACAGGGTGGGCATTCGGACATGTGTTATCCAACACAGACAAATCCATAAATAACCTGATTGCGTATCCTATCGACACGGCTCCGAAAATCTTTAAAACTTCACCTAATCGCATTCTGTATATTCGCATATCTAGTTACAGCACAGAGTGTTAGCCTCCAAGCGTTTTTCTGAATCCTGAAAGATACGAACAGAAAGTTCTAATTAGATTTCTCGACCATTCATCAAAAGTTGTTTATAACAAGTTTGAATAGTATGCAAGTATGACTAAACTGAAGTCTTCAGGTTTGGTCATTTTTTAACCTTCGCCCTCTGCATTCTCAAAATATACAATATTTCATGCAAGCGTGTAGTTTAGTGTATTGATCCATGCAACGTCTGAGAAGATCTGAACACTTCAAACCACATAGTGAGAAAAATAAATTTATTTGAACTCTAATTTAACAATAAAATAGTAAAAAAATTATTTATGAATAATAGTTTCTTCTCGTATACTACAAATATATGCAAATATTGTTTTTCTGTAATTTTTTCAGCAAAAGTCTTTATTACCAGAATTACTAGTGTTTTTGAGAAAGACAAAAATTGTTAAATGTTCAGTACGTAAATGAAAGGTGAGAAAAATACAACTAGGTGAATGAAAAAGGTAGTTCACAAATAACATGAACGTGTTTAATTTAAAAACTTGCATTTTCTTCTATGGTAAATTTAGTTATATTTTCAGCAAAACCTTAAAATTATAAAATCTTTAAAATTAAAATATTACCGGTACACCTGGTTATTTATGTTTGAATACACAAACATTTACTTTGTGTCAAATAGTAACAAATGTTTAGAAGGGGAGGTAAACATGATTTCTCTTGCAAGAATGCAAGTTAAAAGAAAGTGGAAATCGTACTTCAAGGTTAATAAATACATGTACATGTACATGTACATGTATAGCTTCGTTTATTCAAACAAATTGTCCAATAATCTCAATGTGGTATAATTTTTTTTTTATCTCTGGGTTTAGCAAGAAGCTCTGAGTGGGAACCGTCCTTTTGATTATGATGTATATGCTAGTTAATGGGTTCATGTCTTTATATCACCGTCTGTTATATAAAACTAACAGCTGTAACCTTTAGAGGTAGTTTTTCGTTTTTTTTTAAACATTTTTGTGTCAGACGATAGTTCCAGCTGTCGAATATCACCGTTTTCTCTCCTGACTTTTTTATGTGCAATTTGCAAGTGGTGACATACAGCACCATTTGCCACAGAGACTATATTTCAGTTTGGGACTACGTGACAGAGCTGTGTGACCATCTTCCTATCATAACGACG